CCCCCCCCTCCCTCAGGAGCCATTGGATCAGACCGCAGCAAAGATGCAAACCAATGTTAGACATTTACATAACGATAAATATTATGATTCTCAATAGAAGGCCCATGCCAGTCTGTTTTTACTCTAAATGTGTCATTAATGACAGACAGTTGTTCCACATGTTCATATATATAATACTTTATCTAGGAGAACACGTTTGGGCTCACTGAGGTTGTGAATGAGGCCACTTTTCTTTTTTTGCCTAATGTACTTTTAAGTGCAACCTGGTAATTAAACGCATTTTTCTGAAAACTAAACGGGCAGGTGGAACACAAGAAATAGGGAGAGCAGATGATGCAAAGAAGGCTTGAATAAAATCATCATATATCTTCATAACCTCTTTCATGCCACTGTGGGTCTGAGGTCATTAAAGTCTCCACCCCCACACGCCAAATCCACCAGACCATAGATCTTCCCCACTATGAACACACACATCGACTAAACACACACATCCACTAACAGAAGTATGCTTATTCAAGATGTGTGTGTGTGTGTGTGTGTGTGTAGAGCTGTTGTGTGTGTGTGTGTGATAGCAACAACTTGCAGTAAAAGTGTTTGTGACCACTGAAAAGATGCTCTTCTGTTCTCTGACAAAACGTCTGTCATTTCACCCATTTATCTCTCAGTCAGGCAGATAAAGAGTAAAACAAAAGGGCACAGGAAGCTTTTGGGAGAACACTCCAGGTGAGACTGTGGGAATCCTTTGAATAATGTTTTTGTGAGCGTGTTTATATCTAGTCGATTCTCTAATTTTCCCATGACTTTCCCACACACTCATTAACTCTGTTGTTGTTTCTTTTACTCTCATCACTCATTTATTGGAACAAAATAACAGTTTTGTTAGAGTGTAGCTGCAAATTGTTGTGTTAATGACCATGCAGCAGGACCAAAGCATGTTTGGTATATCCAAACTAAAATTAAAGTTCTATTTTCTCATTTACCAACCATGAAAATTTCCAATAAACTAAAGCCAATGAAAGAGGATCTCTTTGTACCTGTAGCTGGTAGGTGGCAGGTATTTGAGTATATGTGTTGAAGACGCTTTCCTCTGATCACCTCTTGATTAAATATTGAATTATTAGGCACCAGCATTGTTTCCATGGAAACAATACTCACTGTCTCCACTGCTTTTGCACAGACCAAGAAATCTAATTTCCTATGAGATTCCTGTGATACATAGTGAGGAAATATATTTTATACTCCTGTTTAGCTGTCAAAGAAGAAAAAACATTAAAATAGTGGTAATTAATCTTATTGAAATAAACATCCCACTACATCGTGAAGAAAATATGACTCTATTTATAGACTATAGCACTCTGCATTGTAGACCTCCATATTTTACTTTAGACTGAGACAAGTAACAAGAGGCATGAATGCATGTGGGAAGGCCAAAAAATGTTATTTATAATAAGAATTATCAGTAGATTTGTACATTTCCAAAATAGTTAATAGCCTACAAATCATCAGTAATGTTATCATATATGTTTTAAAAGCTACTTTCAGCTGCTCACTTATATACAAGCGGTTGCCACATCTCCGTATGTCTGATTTGTGACTTGCACCAGGGATCTTTGTTAGACAATTGTGTACACCACTATACATTTGCCTAACAAATGTAGCTCAGGACGTAGATCACCTATTAATCACAAGGTTAATGGTTCCATCCCTGGCTCCTCCAACCTGCATGACAAAGTGGCTTTAACTAAGATACCTTGCACTACATTTACCCCGATCCATTGAAGTCTTGGCATTTAAACATTAGGTTAAAAAGTGCTTAAGCATTGAGGGGGGGGAAAAAAGCATTTCTATAAATGTGCGTGTGTGAATTGAATAATCAAGGCTTGTATTGAGTGAGTTCTTAAAGTGATTAGAAGTGCTATATAAGTACCAGTCCATTTATCCCTACACTTTGGAGGTACATTTTGTGGCCGCAAACCTACCAGTTAGTGAAAATGAAAAATTCTGAATGATTATTTATGCCAGTGCCGCTCCACCTGCCTTTTAAACACTATTTAAAGCATGTATTATTAGTGCCAGAATAAACTTTTATGACAGCCTATGTATAAGTACTGTTTTATTAACTTTAATTAAAGTAATTTACTAACTAATTAATTTGAAAATTTCTAGCAATAGTTATTAACATCACCCAATG